CAAATAGATCGGTTTCGGTTGGCTCAAAACATTCCCTCGTCAATCCATATGGTCGAAGATCGAACCCAGGTCGAGTTCTTTGGTCGTGCGAACTCAATCCCGTAACGGCCCTACCCCTAAGGTTAGCATCCCGTGAATGCGCATTTCCGGGTGAGACCTCACTATAGTGCATTGGTCAAATTCATTTCTTAAATCCCGGGAAAAGGATCGAAAATTCAGACTGTTACATGCCACACCACATTCACTCTCTTGCTCATGCACATGCTCGACAATCACTTGCCACACACAATTGGCCAATCACACGTGGCCCGTGCACGCTTCAATTCACATGCATTTTTCATGCTCGTTAAGCATTCAACATGGTCAATTTGACAATTAATTCAGTCCGGCCCACGCGCGCACATAATCAAGCATATTTCAATCAATCAAGCACACACTATTACACCCAATTCATCACCACAGATCAACCCCAGTTCAAACGTGCATTAAATACAGAAATTGCCATTTTTCTCCAACCAAACGGCGGCAAATCAATTCTGGCCCTTCACGACACTTTCCCACAATTAATCGCCGATTCTAAATATCCAATTTTCGTACCGAACCGAGCATCACAGTACTCCAATCAACCATTCACAGCCCACTTTTGACCTCAAAATTTCCACCAAAATTCCCAAATTGAATCCTAAGGCCCGCTAAACATTTCCGCACCTAAAATTGTACAATTCCGCACCTAATTAAACCCGATTCTACCACGAAAATTGTCTGTCGATACCCGACGTCCTAAATAGAGTTTAGGGCGCGACTTACCTGAAACTCTAGACTAACGTGGCTAGAGCGAAAAGCGGCGGCAAACGACGGGGACGGCGGCGAACGGCGAGCGGCTCGGCGGCTTGGGCGGACGGCGACGGCGAGCGACGGCGGGGCTTCCTTGGCCGGCCAGCTCACGGCCAAGGGGAAGAGAGAGAGACGGACGGCGTAGGGTGGTGATGGTGGCGCGGTACGGCGGCGTGGGATGGCGGCACGGCGGGCGGTGAGCGGCGACGCCGGCGTAAGGCCAAGGAGAGGAGATGGCCGGTTCGGTGAGGGGGGGCTGCCGAATGGAGAGAGAGAGAGAGAAAATGAGGAGAGAGAATGGGTCTTGGACCTAAATAGTGAATTTTTGACCAAATGGCAAATGACCATCTTGCCCTTGTCTAATCTTTTGAATCAACGGCCGAGATTTGATCTTATCTTGGAACCGACGGCCGAGATCGAATCTTACCCAAAAATATCCAAGGGCAATTTGGGAATTTCATAAAATTCCAAGGGCAAAATTGTCCATTCAAAAAGTTAGGGCATAATGACCAAAATGCCCCTCCCTCATAAAACATGCCCTTTATAAATTCCTAGGGGTAAAATGGTCACTTTCCTCATTTCTCATCGAAATCGAATTTTCCTGAAGGAATTGGGACAATCCAAAATTACACGTTCTAACCGCAACGTCGTCCTAACGTCCCGTTGTGACTTCTTAATTTTTCGATGTCCAATTTGGGCTCAATTAAATAATTAAATCTTAGTAAACGCAACTCGAGCGTTTCTCAAACTAACGGGTGGCTCGTTGGGGAAATTCGCATATTCGACCCGTGACTGATAATAATTCGAGTCACGTGCAAGTTCATCCGGTTCGTGATGACTTCGGTTGTCATTTAAATCGCAAGGATCAATCACTAGATCCGAGGGGCACAATCGTTTGGTATAAGTTCAGGATCGTTCGCCAATTCATTTCGTGGTCCAGCAGAATCACCTGCGATCCACTACTATGACAGTGGCGAACTGTCCCCTAGTTATCCTCGGATCGGCCAACAGTGGCTCCAAATATCACCTCGGCGATTTTATGGTCGAAAATCAATTTACGATCGAATTTTCTTTTCGTCGTACGAATTTAAATCCTCAGTCAGCCTTTCCCTAATGGTTAGTATCCCTGGAATAATCAGTTCCGGGCGAGAACTAACTACGAGTATATTCATAAAACTCAGTATTTCATAAATCCCAATTGGACCAATTTTCAGGATGTCACGCCAATGGCCCGGCCAATGACAGTTGTTGCTTGATTTCCAAGAAAATCTCATCTTTCTTGAATCCATTCCCTGATGTGGACGCCTTCTTCTCCTGGGAAACTGCTAACAGCGGTTACTCCAAATGCTGTTTCTGTTCTTCCACGTCCAATTGATTGGTTCTTCTGTGCTTTTGGGCAGAGTGAGCGAAGCAGAGGGAAAAAACAGGGCAATAGCTTTAGATATCCTAGAGATTCTCGCGGCAGAAATGACGAAGTTGACAACACACGTTTCTTTCTTTGACGGTTAAGTTTATCTTCTCACATGCTTGGTGAAGTACAATTAGGCAGAGTTTTGTCGAGTTAGATTTCTTATGAGTGTCTCTTTATCTGCGTGAGAGCTTCTGAGGTGTTAAATGCAAATAAAGGGAACCGACACAACTAGAAGATCCCACCAAATGAGACAAACCTTGTTTCCCTTTCACAATTATGATCGGAAAATTAGCATTCCCTTTTGTTTTGCTTGAACTAGAAATCAACATCCTCGTAGATAGAATATCACTCACACGGTAATTGTCGATGTTGACGCGTTGCCGGAGTATCATTTACCTAACCGCCCCTCGCTGCTGTCTACATCATGTCGCCGTCTACTCCATTAATCCTTTGCATCTCTATCGCCCTCGCCACAGACCTACACTTGGTGTATTTGCCGAAAAAACTGTCCCGTCTCCTCCACCGTTTGCCCCTGCGGTTCTGACATCATCATGTAGAAAAAGTCCCCATGACGCTCATGATCTACGCAAACAAGTAGAAGGCCCCATCAATGGTGGTCGCGTTGTACAGCGATAAGAACATCATAAATAATACTCCACTCACCATCCCATTCACCGCCACGCCGATTACACACCACCCCCCCGGCACGTAGCCTTTGCGGGAAGATCCCTGAGCTGTACACCCATGTGATCGGCCCCATCCTGAAAGAGAGGAATGCTACGTAGTACAACATCGAAGCAATACATATGGCCACCACCCATATGAGTTTCATGTGGTTATGGTCGTTGATGTGAGGCACATTTTGAGGGAGGCGAGTGAGAAGATCATCCCATTGACATTGTTCAGCAGCAACAGCTACCGCTCGACCTGTGTCAAGGAAGGTGGTGATAAGGAAGAGCACTCTCTTTTCGAAGCCGACTGTAATGGCGTAACGAGCTTTCTGTAGTAGGAGGTCATGTTGGCCTTCTCGAAAATGCAAGTGCCGTAGAGGATGATAGCATCGATACTAGGGACCTGCTCAAAGAAGTGGGTTCAAACGACGTAAATAAGGATGTGGCGGACAAACAAGGTCATATGGAGGATGAGATCCTGCCACACACCCTCCCTAATGCTCTGCTTGGTGACTTTGACAATGTCGTCGTTGCACTCCTCATTTGTTAATGTGTCATCTATGCAAACTCCTCCATCCATCTTTGTAGAGTTTGGAGAAATGTCCCTTTATTAAAACACCTGACGAGTGCAACAACGACGTTGTCAAGGTCACCAAACAAAGCATCCAGGAGGGTGTATGGTGGGAGCTCCTCCTCCACCCAACCTTGTCCATTCACCACATTCTTGTCTATGTCGTTGGGATCCAATTCTTCTAAAATGCCTCTAGCATCGATGCAGTCGTCCTCTATAACCCTCGCATTTTCGAGAAAGCCGGCATTACCTCCTTCATAAAGACAATGATCATCCTCATTGCAATCTTCTACCTCGACCGGGTGGGGAGCCGACTATTGCTGAGTAGCTGCGCCAGTGGGATGATCTTCTTGTTCGCGGTGATTGCAAGCATCACCTAGGTGTTCTTCAACATGACAATGTTGGAAACGCATGGGCGGATGTGGTAGGCGATGGGTCAGTTTTTTGGTAAATACACCAAGTGGAGGTCTGTGGCGAGGGAGATAGAGCTGCAAACGAACAATGGGATCCACGGTGATGGATGGAGGCAGATGCGAGTGACAATTAGGGAAATAATTATAAGGTAATGGGTATCTAGTAAAAATGGCTGGCTTTGTAAGGTATTTAGAGTATTTATACACAATATGAATATAGTAATGAGGACAAAAAAGAATTATAATGACGAATTTTAAATGAGGATAACTAGATATAAACTTCTTAGGAAATTCAATTTCTTTTTGTATAAGAAGTTTCTCGGTAAAGCACCTCAGACCATGAACTCATACTTCGCTTGATTTCCCTTTGCCTCTTTCATTTATTATTTCTTTCCAACAACCAACAGAGACATGATCATATCTTTGCATTGTTCATCATTCACCTAGCTCTGTTCATCATTGTTCTAGCTTCAAAATCTTAACATCATAAAAAATCTTCATCAACCAGGGAACTCATTAAAGCCATAATCCATATTGTATTCATCAAATATGTAATGAAACATGTTCAAATCACAAACAGGAACTCAATGGCAGATGATCTTGAGGGAACCAATAGTTAAGACTTCTCATCTTTGTTTCTCCAAGAAAAGAGTATAGAGAGGTACTTATCTTGGAGATGTAGATGTTGATTTCAAAGGATGATCAAACCAAGTAGCTGATGTCTTGGAGGTGTCATTTCTGGTGATTGACGTTGGCGAAGAAGAAACGAGCAGGAGCCAAGCTCTTCGAAGTCTCTGACAAGAAAAAACAGTAAAACAGAGGAATAATTAGTGGGACTCCGGAGCAGCGAATGGTGTCAATCAGCGGTGGCTTTCGGTGTTAGGGGGGTGATAGAGAAGGAAGATTGGTGAAGAAGCTTCTGGTAGTTCAAGAAAAGACCGAGGATCAATGCTATTGAGTTAATAGAAAAATGAGTCAGAGAATGAGAGAGAACTTAGCTTTAATCATGTTGCAGTAATCCAATTGTTCGATGGAGAAGCTTCGACTGAATGTAACTGTCACACCCCAAACTCAACAAGAATAAGGGCATGACACGGCCATCCTTTAACAAAAGGACGCAGCCTAAACATAACCAAAACTCACATGATATCAAAATATATGCAACCACATATATACATGATATAAAGTTTATTTGGTTACAATATCAGAGTTAACTACAATCCACCAAAAAGCTAAGTACATTAAGCTCCACATCCATGTGTAACTCGTACCAAAAAGTCCCAACTATCAAAATGTTCTCCCCGACACCGGAACTCTCACGCCTACTAGCGTCTCGGTGAAGAACCTGAAAAACAAGTTAAATGAGAGGAATGAGCTACCACGGCTCAGTGAGTAATACATTTCTTCTAGGTAGATCGAGCACCTACTATGCACACAGTTGTAAGACCAAACGAAAACTCAAATAACCCAACATATAACCAACTCCAGGTTCAAAATACGTTATATACTACTTAAACATCACATTTTCACAATAAGAAAGCTCATTCCAATTAATAATATCAAAGAAGAAACCAATGGTCAATTCCATTGGCCAATCTCGTCGAAAAGCACACGCCAATGGTCTATTCCATCGGCCAATCTCATGCTCAGAAATCTAAGTATGATCACGGATAACGCCCCGTGAAAGGCGACCAAGATTCCCCCCTTGGCAAGGTCTCCACCTACTATAAGCCGGTGGCTCGGCCCACAAGGATATCCTAGACTAGTATGCGCATACCCACAACCCCTCATTTGGGTTCACAGAGACACTGAGCATCAAAATCCACAACAATATCATCTACCAATCTACAAAACCCATTCCAGAAATCATTTCATAAACCATTTCATAAACCAAAATAAAACCCTTCATAAGCCACATTCAAATGCAAGAACTCCTCATGAGTCTTTCTCAAAAGGTTTCGCAAACCTATTTGCATTCAGTAAATTCAAATCGAAATCAAAAGATAATCTTTCATTTTAAATACACAAAATGGCAGTAAATGCTCGATCCAATTTTATGCAATCAAAATGCCATTTCTTATATGGTAACATGTCTAATACATAACATTTTATAAATATGAGTTTACAAATTCAAAGAAGAAATAGTACCACTCACCTTGAAAAGCTGAAAAACTAACCTACAGCGATTTCTCGAGCCGACACACTTGAATACCTAACAATAAGTCGAAAAACGGTATCAAAACCGAGTAAAATGTTACTTCAACCACGACTCGGCTCAACTAGGCTTAGATGCTAATATAACGACTAAAAGACGCCCTCAAAACGCTCGTCTAACGCGATTATCCAAAATCGCCCACAATACAACGCCTAAGCGCAAAACTTGATTGCGCCATAACTTTCTCCAGTAAACTCCAATCCAAGCAAGTTTATAGTCAAAAGAAAGCTTGTTCGGAGCACTACAGGAACCCCAACTTGGCAGCCCCAAAATCGAGCCGAAAACTGACGAAAATCGGCCTAAAAACCACTGTTCGCGTACTGTTCACTGCGCGCACTCAACTTCAAAAATTCATATCCAGCAAATCATAAGTCCAAATCAGGCTCCGTAAAATCCCACAGCTCCGCAACACTGTAAACTACCAATTCTATAAAAATACGCAGCTGAACGACTCAAAAATCAGACTTCGCCGCTCGAATTTCCCAAAATTCCGAATTTAAACCCTAAATCGGAAAACTTCTCCGATCAAACGAACGAGGGGCGCGAGTACTTACCGAGCGTTGCGATTCGAAGTCGAATCGGCTAGGCGAGGTCCGCGCGGCGCAAAACCCTCTCCTCTCCTCTTTTTCTTCTTCTTCTTCCCTTTCCTCTCCTTTCTCTTCTTTTCCGTTTCTGTTTTTCTCAGCCAAGGAGCTCTCGGCCTCCTTTTTAATTTGGTCGAGAGTCCACTGTAGCTTCTGTTGACTTGTTGACCTTTTTTTTTTTTTTTTTTTTTTTTTCAGAACCCATATTTTACATTCTCCCCTCCTTAAAAAAAATTTCGCCCTCGAAATTTAGAGCGAAATTTAGACGTGCCTCAATCATCGAACAAGTGAGGGTATTTGCGTCTTGCCTCCTCCTCAAGCTCCCAAGTGGCCTCCCTCTCAGTGTGGTTTTGCCATTGAATCTTTACGTAAGGAATAGTGCGTTGTCGTAGCACTTGATCTTTTCTATCAACAATGCGTACTGGTTGCTCGTCATATGATAGGTTTTCCTTTAACCGCAAAGGTGTAAAGTCAAGCACATGTTCAGGATTTGGCACATATCTCCGCAATAAAGACACATGGAACACATCATGCACGCCCGATAACGCTGGTGGTAAAGCCAGTTTATAAGCAACTTCACCAATCTTCTCTAATATTAAGAATGGTCCCACATATCTTGGACTTAACTTACCACGAGTGCCAAATCTCATAACGCCTTTCATTGGAGAGACTTTGAGGAATGCATGATCTCCCACATTGAACTCTACCTTGCGTCTTTTGAGGTCAGCATAGCTTTTCTGACGGCTTTGTGCTGTTCTCAAATGCTCTCGAATCACCATGACTTTCTCTTCTGACTGCTGAATAAACCCTGGACCGGTTAATCTTTTCTCACCAACATCATCCCAACATACGGGAGTTCTGCATTTTCGACCGTATAGAGCTTCAAAAGGAGCCATCTTGATGCTAGAATGATAGCTGTTATTATAAGAAAACTCCGCCAAATGAAGGTGTTCGTCCCACGAACCGCCAAAGTCAATAACACAGGATCTTAGCATGTCCTCTAATGTCTAAATCGTTCTTTCAGACTGTCCATCTGTTTGCGGGTGAAAAGCCGTGCTAAAGTTGAGTTTAGTACCCAATGCTCCTTGCAAACTCTTCCAAAAGTTAGACACAAACCTGGGATCCCTGTCAGAAACAATGCTCACTGGCACCCCATGAAGCTTCACTATCTCATTAACATACCGCTTCGCCATATCCTCAAGTGAAAGACCGAATCGATATGACAAAAAGTGAGCAGATTTAGTCAATCGATCGACAATCACCCGTATAGCATTCTTACCACTAGGTGTCCTCGGTAGACTGACGATGAAGTCCATAGTAATATGCTCCCACTTCCACTTAGGTATTTCAAGTGGGTGTAGCTGTCCACCTGGTTTCTGATGCTCAATCTTCACTTGCTGGCAAACCAGACACTGGTCAACAAACTTCACGATATCTTTCTTCATGTTGATCCACCAAAAATTCTCTCTCACATCCCTGTACATTTTAGTGCTTCCCGGATGGATAGAGAATCTCGTACTATGAGCTTCCTGCAATATCTCTTTTTTCAATCCCGAATCATCAGGAACGCATAGCCGACCATGAAACCTCAATGACCCATCCGCATGGATACTGAAGTCCTTTTGTCTCCCAGCTTCTACTCCTTCTCTAATCTTTCCCAACTGAGAATCCCCATTCTGTTTAGCCTTAGTTCTATCAATCAACATTGGTTGTACTTGAAGATTAGCTAATCGAGCACCAAGCTGATGTACCAATACCTCCAAGTCCAACTTCCTCATATCCTCAAGAATAGGCTTCTGAGAAGTGAGCAATGTAGCCATGTTTCCATAAAATTTACGACTTAGGGCATCGGCTACTACATTTGCCTTACCTGGATGGTAATTGATAGACAGGTCGTAATCCTTTAAGAGTTCTAGCCATCTCCTCTGTCTCATGTTTAATTCTTTCTGAGTAAAGATGTACTTCAAACTCTTATGATCAGTAAAGACCTCACATTTCTCACCATACAAGTAGTGCCGCCATATCTTCAAGGCAAACACAACCGCTGCTAACTCTAAATCATGAGTGGGATAGTTTTTCTCGTGTACTTTCAACTGTCTAGAGGCATAGGCTATAACTTTACCATTCTGCATAAGAACACAACCTAAACCTTCCTTAGATGCATCACAGTAGATTGTGAAACCACTAGTACCTGAAGGCAATGTCAATATAGGAGCCGACACTAACCGTCTCTTCAACTCTTGGAAACTATGCTCACATTGATCGGACCATACAAATTTAACTCTCTTCTGAGTTAGGCGAGTAAGTGGACCGGCAAGTTTAGAAAATCCCTCCACGAACCGCCTATAGTAGCCAGCTAGACCAAGAAAACTTCTCACTTCAGTGACATTGGTAGGGCGACTCCATTGGACAACTGCTTCAACTTTCCTCGGGTCAACCGAAATGCCATCCTTCGAGATTATATGGCCTAAGAATTCTATATGATCAAGCCAGAAATCGCACTTACTGAATTTAGCAAACAACTTCTTTTCACGCAAAGTTTGCAAGACAAACCTCAAGTGTTGTTTATGTTCCTCCAAACTCTTCGAATACACCAAAATATCATCAATGAATACCACAATAAACTTATCAAGATATTGCCTGAACACCCTATTCATCAAATCCATGAAAGCAGCAGGTGCATTTGTTAATCCAAAAGGCATGACAAGAAATTCATAATGGCCATACCTTGTCCTGAAAGCAGTTTTAGGTACATCATCTGCCTTTATCTTCAACTGATGATACCCAGAACGAAGGTCAATCTTAGAAAATACCTGAGCTCCCTGAAGTTGATCAAACAAATCATCAATCCGGGGCAAAGGGTATTTATTTTTTATCGTCACCTTATTAAGTTCTCGATAATCGATGCAAAGCCGCATACTACCATCCTTCTTTTTCACAAAAAGAACCGGAGCTCCCCAAGGCGAAACGCTGGGTCTAATAAAACCCTTATCCAACAATTCTTGCAGCTGAATTTTTAATTCCTTCAATTCAGACGGTGCCATCCGATATGGCGCCTTAGAGATAGGCGTAGTACCAGGCATCAAATCAATAAAAAAATCAATCTCTCTATCAGGAGGCAAGCTAGGCAAATCTTCAGGAAACACATCTGGAAATTCTCTGACAATAGGAATATTTTCAAGCTTTACAACATCTTTACTTGTGTCTTTTACACAAGCCACATAACCACAACAACCCTTCCTCAAAAGCTTCCTCACTTGTAAAGCTGATATCAATCTTGGCAAAGTGCCTTTACAACTTCCCGAAAAAGAGAATTCGGGTTGATTTGGAAGTCGAAAGACAACCTTCTTAGAATAGCAATCAACAGTTGCATGATATGTGGATAACCAATCCATTCCCAGAATAACATCGAAATCCCGTATATCTAACTCCACCAAATCGACAGGTAATACTACATCATTAATCCGGAGCAAACATCTCTTGAACACACGGTTAGCAATCAGGAAATTTCCAATAGGAGTATCAACATACATTTCATGCTCAAGAGGCTCAGGCAACACATCAAGTTTCCTTGCGAAGTCAATGGCAATAAAGGAATGCGTAGCACCCGGATCAAATAGTGCATACGCATATTGAGAGGCAATACAAATATTACCTGCAACAACTGCGTTGGACGCCGCCGCATCCTCCTTTGTTATCGCAAAAACTTTCCCAGTCGTCTTTTGCCTTTCCTGATTTCCTTGGGGCCTACCAGCTGAAGATGCAGTTTTCCTCATAGAACAAGCAGATGCTAGGTGCCCAGGCTGCCCACAAACAAAACACACCCTACTATCTCCAGGGATATCCTTCTGTGCAGGACAATCACGCGCCATATGTCCTATTTTCCCACAAAGGAAGCAAGCTCCTGTCTTGCGGTAACAAGGACCGCTATGACGCTTGCCACAAGTAGCACAAGGACCCGGATTACTCTGAATCTTGGGCCTTCCTGACTGATTGAAATCCCTCCGCTTTTTGCTACTATTGGTCCGACTATCATGATAATCAGTGGGCTTAAACCTCTTGTACTGAGGTGTACCCTGTACGCCGCTCTCCAACATGTCTTGCTCCACCCTAATCGCTCGATCCAAGACATCTTTGTACGTAGTCAGTACAAAAGGCGTGAGAATACTGCGAATATCAGGTCGAAGTCCTCGCTGAAAGTGTTCTGCCCTCCGCTTTTCACTAGCCACGAAGCCTTCCTCGAATCTACTAAGCTGATTAAAGCGGGCTGCATACTCCATAACTGACGAGCTACCTTGAGATACATTTGCAAAGTCACTCCTCATCTTCGCTTGGAATGACTCGGGGAAGAATTGGGCATTGAATGCTTCAGTGAAGTCCTTCCAGGAAATGATTACATCAGTACCTCCAAGGGCGGGTCTAGTCCCCTGCCACCAACATATAGCTTCACCTTCCAAATAACGAGTGGCAAAGTTAACCTTTTGATTGCCATGAACATTTTCCGCTCTAAAGATTTCCTCTATGCTTCTAATCCAACCATCGGCCTTAAGAGGATCAAACTTCCCATCAAACTTAGGTGGATCTGCCTTTCTGAATTGTGCGAAGGTGCATGAGTCAGTGGTGCCACCTTCACTTAATTCCTTCGCCTGACGATACCAATGAATCATTGCTTGAGCGAAATCAGTCGGGGGATTAGGCTCTTGGGGTTCTTCCCTAGCTTCTGGTGAGTCGGATCTCACTTCATATTGGTCCTCCCGTCTCCTTTTTAAAGTCACACCTTGAGAACGTTGAGGCATATCTCTAGAGTCAGAAGTAATGACTCGCTTGCCTTTATTCTTCTTAAGAACTGAGGCAAGTGGCTCCGAGTCAGAACTCATGGTCGCCTGAATCCAAGAATGAAATACCACTTAGTATATAAAAATCTAGCGCAAAAATCTATCACACAATCTCACAACGTCCCATATCTATACTCCAAAAATCAAAACTTATGCTCTGATACCAATAAATGTCACACCCCAAACTCAACAAGAATAAGGGCATGACACGGCCATCCTTTAACAAAAGGACGCAGCCTAAACATAACCAAAACTCACATGATATCAAAATATATGCAACCACATATATACATGATATAAAGTTTATTTGGTTACAATATCAGAGTTAACTACAATCCACCAAAAAGCTAAGTACATTAAGCTCCACATCCATGTGTAACTCGTACCAAAAAGTCCCAACTATCAAAATGTTCTCCCCGACACCGGAACTCTCACGCCTACTAGCGTCTCGGTGAAGAACCTGAAAAACAAGTTAAATGAGAGGAATGAGCTACCACGGCTCAGTGAGTAATACATTTCTTCTAGGTAGATCGAGCACCTACTATGCACACAGTTGTAAGACCAAACGAAAACTCAAATAACCCAACATATAACCAACTCCAGGTTCAAAATACGTTATATACTACTTAAACATCACATTTTCACAATAAGAAAGCTCATTCCAATTAATAATATCAAAGAAGAAACCAATGGTCAATTCCATTGGCCAATCTCGTCGAAAAGCACACGCCAATGGTCTATTCCATCGGCCAATCTCATGCTCAGAAATCTAAGTATGATCACGGATAACGCCCCGTGAAAGGCGACCAAGATTCCCCCCTTGGCAAGGTCTCCACCTACTATAAGCCGGTGGCTCGGCCCACAAGGATATCCTAGACTAGTATGCGCATACCCACAACCCCTCATTTGGGTTCACAGAGACACTGAGCATCAAAATCCACAACAATATCATCTACCAATCTACAAAACCCATTCCAGAAATCATTTCATAAACCATTTCATAAACCAAAATAAAACCCTTCATAAGCCACATTCAAATGCAAGAACTCCTCATGAGTCTTTCTCAAAAGGTTTTGCAAACCTATTTGCATTCAGTAAATTCAAATCGAAATCAAAAGATAATCTTTCATTTTAAATACACAAAATGGCAGTAAATGCTCGATCCAATTTTATGCAATCAAAATGCCATTTCTTATATGGTAACATGTCTAATACATAACATTTTATAAATATGAGTTTACAAATTCAAAGAAGAAATAGTACCACTCACCTTGAAAAGCTGAAAAACTAACCTACAGCGATTTCTCGAGCCGACACACTTGAATACCTAACAATAAGTCGAAAAACGGTATCAAAACCGAGTAAAATGTTACTTCAACCACGACTCGGCTCAACTAGGCTTAGATGCTAATATAACGACTAAAAGACGCCCTCAAAACGCTCGTCTAACGCGATTATCCAAAATCGCCCACAATACAACGCCTAAGCGCAAAACTTGATTGCGCCATAACTTTCTCCAGTAAACTCCAATCCAAGCAAGTTTATAGTCAAAAGAAAGCTTGTTCGGAGCACTACAGGAACCCCAACTTGGCAGCCCCAAAATCGAGCCGAAAACCGACGAAAATCGGCCTAAAAACCACTGTTCGCGTACTGTTCACTGCGCGCACTCAACTTCAAAAATTCATATCCAGCAAATCGTAAGTCCAAATCAGGCTCCGTAAAATCCCACAGCTCCGCAACACTGTAAACTACCAATTCTATAAAAATACGCAGCTGAACGACTCAAAAATCAGACTTCGCCGCTCGAATTTCCCAAAATTCCGAATTTAAACCCTAAATCGGAAAACTTCTCCAATCAAACGAACGAGGGCGCGAGTACTTACCGAGCGTTGCGATTCGAAGTCGAATCGGCTAGGCGAGGTCCGCGCGGCGCAAAACCCTCTCCTCTCTCCTCTTTTTCTTCTTCTTCTTCCCTTTCCTCTCCTTTCTCTTCTTTTCCGTTTCTGTTTTTCTCAGCCAAGGAGCTCTCGGCCTCCTTTTTAATTTGGTCGAGAGTCCACTGTAGCTTCTGTTGACTTGTTGACCTTTTTTTTTTTTTTTTTTTTTTTTTTTTTTTTTTTTTTTTATTTTACAGTAACCAAAATCAAGACTGATCGAAGCTGAAATCGCGGAGCTAAAGGGCACGATATACAGAGAGCTTTGCCGTGGCAGGAACTGGAGATCTTCGTCTGAAAGCAGGATGAAGACATTTATCAGCGAGAATGAAGCTTCGCTAGAGGCCAACAGGATAGGGTCGTCCTCACTAGATATGTTGACTTTCCCCGTGAAACTGGTCTTTCTCTTATCACTTAATACCAATCGATAGCAATTAAGTATCATTTCATTCCGGTGGGTTCAATGTTGTTGTAGCTTCTGTCCAGTACTTTGTCCCATTGAAACAAACTGGTTCGAGTTCTTTAGATCTCAGTAGGTAGTGCAAATTTTAATATGGTCATCGCTTAGCAAACTATCTCGATACTCATGATGAACGGCATTCGAATAAGTGCGGAGATTCATGCTAAGATGATTGACCTATACAACCACTTTAACAAGCAGACAACATTTTAATGCCTATGTAACGTTTTCTGGTCACATTGTTTATTAAAGAGCTTGATATGGCATCGTGACCTCTTTTTGGAAGCTCTAGCAATCTTGTTCATGGTCAGTGCTTATGGGATTACAGTCATTAATAAGTGCAAGTTGGTTGACGTTGAGTGCATGACTCTTTCAACCAGCATAACCAAAGCTGATAATCATCCCAAATCTAACATTACCATCTACCAAAAATATAAAGCGCTAACCATGACCTCCATATCGTAAAAATCAAGTGAAAACAGTGACATACCTCTTGGATAGCATGTTTGGCACACCACCGATGACCTTGGCGACGCAGAGGATGGCGAGCTCGGCCTTGAGCTCACTCAAAAACTCAGGTTCACAGCAACAGTGATAGTGGTGACAGGCTTGGTGATGATCCCATCCCAATCCTATTCATTAACATAAGAGCAGCGATGATAGCGGAGAGAAGCAATTTACCAGAAAGCGATTTACAAGAATCACCTGGTCATGATGTGGAAGATGAATACGGACATCGATCGACAATTCGATTGCCTTAATTCTGACGAAACTGAGGAAATTGGTGAACCAATCGCAAGCTGGTCACAAACGGTGGAACGCCAGGCCAAGGCGCCTTCATACTCTTGTCCAAATCTCGAATCGACGAGAGCCTGGCCATGTGCGCTTCTCTTAAAAGCGTGAACTCTCAAAAACCCATCTCGCCAATTATGTCTTCCCCTTCTCAAGAACCATGGGGCTAAGGATTCGAGTGAAATTTGAAAAGAAAATTGTGATCTTCAAGAATCCCACCATAACAAAGAAAGGTGGCTGTAGAGATGAGTTTATGCTTCAAAAATTAAATGCCCAAATAATTCATCTTCTTGCAACAAATTACGAGCCAACATGCAAGATTTCCCAAGATCCACAATCCAAAGTCCACTCACCTTTGCTAACCGATTTTTTTTAAAAGAGAAGTTCCCATCCAAAAAGGCAGGTATGGACGTGGCCGCACACAAAGCAGGTAAGGACGCCGTGCTCCTCGCTGGACCTTCTTGGCATGAAGGCGGGGGCTCGTCAGGATCAGCTTGGGTGATGTCTCGCTACAGGGGCACCAGGAGGGAGCAACGTCGGCAAAAGATCGCAGGAGATGTCGGGAAAGCTTCCGAGTTCGTCAGACAGTCGCTGCAACTCACTGCGGGAGGCATTGCAGGAATCTCATTGCGGCAGGGCTCGCTGAACATGGTGTGAGCGTCGGCGGAGTGCGATGGCCGGCTGTGGCAGTGGGATTGCTCATAAGAGTTGAACACAATTGAGAACAGTTGCAAACCATCGAAGAAAAAGGATAAAGATTCGGTTGAAAGGAAACTCTGAGCGGCTTCATCCGTTCCTTTCGTGTTATTTTCAAGTGTCAAACCCACGATCGGTTCTTGGCCTGGATCAATCTTGGTTTCTTTTGAATTCAAATCAAAGTCACTTGAGATAACCACTTGGACTCTTGAGCGAATGTTCCCCATCAGATTTGCTCTATCCCTTCCGTTCTCACCTCACCAAGATTTACGGCCACTAGTGTTATCTTTTCATCTTTTGAATTCATGAGCATGCGATGGCCGGCTATCCATAGGAGGTGATCCAATGTGCGATTGTACGTGGAAACGTCATGGACAGGCCATGAGATTGGCATGGGCGATGCATGGCCTGAATGAGATGCGAATGTGAATTATGCAAATGGAATTTTTGTTTAGGGGTCGGGTTCAATCCCTAATTTTCTTATGCAACTAAAATGAATTAGCCAAAATTTAGGTATCAACATATTTGAGCATTGATCATTAGCTTATCTATTGTACTATCCTTAAACATCTATCTTTTATAAAGTTCAGAATTTCTAAAAAAAAAGAATAAAAGGAAACTATCTCAAAAATGTTCTTGAATGATTTAGTTAGTTTCTAACAGATCTTTCTTCAATCATATTATTTTTTATTTAAATGAACCTAATTTACTTAACTAAGAATGATGGATCCTCACGAACCAATGCTTATGTTGTGATGCGTCATATCCAAGTCCATTTTATCACTGTAAAATTTTTCAACGCATTTCACATAAGAATTATGAGAAAAATTATGACAAGCTTCGATAGAGATTCGTATTTCGAGAGCCCTTCATGCACTAGCAGCAGTGTGACATAGCCCCATTCAGAAATGGTCTCTAGTCGACATAAAAAGAAATGAATGAATTAATCAGACCCCATTTCCTGGTACGAAAAAGAAAAAACAAGAAA